TCAGTTTTTACCCTAGAATGTGCAGATTTTTATATCCAACCAACACTATTAAAATATCCCTCTTCTATGTAATTTTATTATAGCAAATTTCTAAGGCACAAAAAATTATGTTTACTGTTACAAAGTTAACTTGGCTGCATTACGACTTGTGCCATTTTAATTGAGCTTCTCACAACTCTATTTTTGGTCCAGAGGAAGGTAATATAAATCCTTTGGGCAACTGAAGAAACAAGGGTAGTTTTGATCAATTTCCTCAATCAAATAATTTCCATATTGACAATATCACAAATATATTTGTGTAGATTACTACTTGTAGACACATTTACTCAAACTTGCCCCAATATAATAAATATGTTGATTGTTCGATGTTGTGCTGAATTATTGCCTTTTTTGTGTGCTTGTTAATCAAGTTTTTAATTTATTTTTTTTATTTCAGGCCAGAGATGATCAATGGTACCTAATGAACGATGCAGAGGTAACCCCATGCGACATTAAGACGGTCCTAAACCAGGAGGCCTATTTGCTCTTTTACATGAGGTATGCTTTATCAGAATATGATTTGAGATGCAGTTTACTGTGAACTTTTTATTCTTTTTATTATTTCATGTTACCATTTTTACTAATTCATTTATCTGTCTTAGATCACCTACTGAGCAATGCAGAGTGCAACCAACCAGATGCTCCAGAAGGGCCAAATCTCCTGATCAAACAATTGTTGAACCACGCAAGAAGGTAAGGAATCATCATAACAATACATGTGAACTTTCTCATATCTGCAAAAGAACACTGAATGACAGAAGGTTCTTGCTGACACTGTTATCACTGATATATCAATTTCTATCACTGATATATCAATATCTAGCTCACCTAAGAGGGTTATTTGCCAAATAACTGTATCCCTGTGAAAGGGAATTCTCCATATTTTCCTGTGTAGAATCCAGTGCATGGTGGGTATGGAAATGCTGATGCATAATTTGGGGTCATGTATAGTAAACTCTTATAACCTTTTTCACCTGTAGCACCCTCCTATTCAGCTAGGGGGAGCTAGATTCATTTTTTTTAAATAGAGGCTGAGTAGCAGCCTGGTGCAATGGTCAGGGGGTCAAATTTTCAATCAGGGCTGAGAGGCTCTGCAGACTGGCTCTCTGAGACTTCCCCCTGCACTAGAACTTTGAAGAATGTTCTAGAAGCAGAGGTAGAGTGACTAGTCTGCACTCTCAAGGGATCCTGGCCAATCCTGAACAGGAGGCTTGGCATGGGGCCAGGAGAGTCCATAAGAGTGACAGAGCCTGCTCAGCAGCAGGAAGAGTTCAGCTGGAAAATGGAGAGGAAGTGAGAGGCTGGAGAGCAGGAGCCTAGGTGGCCAAGATAGAGAGGGGCTCACCTACAGGTGGAGGATTTTGGAAGGAGGGAAAGCTCAGGACTTCACCGGCTCCCGGAGTGAGAGCCACCTATGCAGCAGGGAAGGAGCGGCCCAGCTAGAAGGCCTGGTAGCAGCCACTGACCCATTAGCAGCATAGGAGAAGGACTGAGTGAGTAGACCTGCACCCACTGGGCTAGTAAGGGGAAAGAGGCACTCTAGTGGGAAACTAGATTAGCTTTCTTACCCGGGACTGTTTTACACTGCAGTGACAGGCACTGGATACCTTGCCCAGGGATTCACCCAGAACAGAAGGATTATGAAAATCTGGAGTCTGGGTTGGTACTACAGGAAATTCTGGCTAGCTCTCCAGAAGATAATTTTTGCTATAAAAGACTTGTATATAGTTCCAGGAAAGTTTGTCCTCTGTTGCCATTACCATCAGGCATCCCATACACCCCTTACCCCATTCAAGTTGAATTCCCCTAAAAAAAAAATAAAAAAGAACAATGGGTCTCCAAGCTCGAGGACTGGTCATGGTCTCCTTAATGCAAGTCTGTGTGGAAGATGTGTGTTGGCTGGCTGTGCAGGACTATAGGGGGACCCCAAAACTCAGCAACTCCTAAGAGGGTAGTGCTACACACCCATTTCTTAAACATTTGCCTGCAAATGACTTAATATTAGTGGTAGACCATTTGCAGTACATCAGTTTGGTTAGTTTAGTGACCGATTATGTATTCCATGATGAAAAATGTACCCCAGAGATTTTAAAGACCAATAAAAAAAAAGAATTGTTAATAACATGCTCAGCCAAATTATCTCCTATATAGGTTAACAAGTTGTAGTTTAAAGTAAACATGAGGGTTTTCTGTTTTGGAGCATAAAAAAGGTGAATTTTAAAATATTTGATTTTTCTAGATCTATACCTTCAGCTGATGCATAGGTGCATTTTTTTAAAAATGTTTTTTTTTCTTTCTTTTTAGAATGCGACATCTCTGAGTAAAGACCGAAAACAAAAACCTTGCTCCAACACCACAGCAGCTTCAGTTAGTACCAAGACTAAAAGGAAAGCAAGGCAAGACAGTCCCATGGAACAGTGAATATACCTTTTTGTATAAAACCAAAATAAAATCCCACTAGTGAATAAAATAGATAAATAAAATAAAATTAAAATAAAATTTAAATATATAAACCATAAAGTGTCCAAGCAAATTGTAGTCTCAAAATGTGTCCAATAAAGTCCAAAGTCCAAAACTCAATCCAGTAGAAGGATTAAAAAATCTTATTTGATCAACGAAAAACCTCGCAAAAAAAAAAAAATAATAATCTATAGTGCATTAAACTTCAAAACATAAATCCACTCCAATCAGTGCAATAGCAAACCACTCCAAATGTGCAAAAGCACACAAAAAAAAACAAAATAATTTATATATATATATTATATAAACAAATAAATAGAAATCTATGTTATATATTCTTAAAGCCGAAAAAAAAAGCTCCAAAAACCGTGAGCACTCCATGATCACTCCAATATAGTGTGCACTCTGCAACTCTGTGATTTGATCCCACACACAGTAATATTAAATACTATTACCCTCTGTGAGCATTAATATACACAGTCAATACTCTGGAATCGGACTTCTTCCATTCCTTCATTTCAGGGGTATTCCTCCAAAATCCTCATAAAGACAAGAAGGCTCTTACACATCTCTCAGAGTATAGGGACAAATTTATTCCAAAAACTTACATTTAAAAACTTGATTTCCAGCTCTCTCAATGGCTCTGTATCGGCTTTCCAAACAATGGCAAAAACCATGTATAAACAATCAACAAAATGGCCACGGCGACACTTCCGGTTAACGTGCTTGCGTCTTGACGTCACCTCCCCAAACACGTTTCGTCACTTCCGGACTTCATCTGAAGGGATCCCATGGAACGCCCTGTGAAGAAGATGAAGACAGACTCAGACTCCGATTCTGCTTTCCAACATCAAGAGACAATGGAAGAGTCAACTGAACCTTGCTACACCATAGCAGCATTAGTTACCACCAGGACTGGTGTGAATAAACGGAAAGCAAGGAAAGACAGTCCCATGGAATGCCCTGTGAAGAAGAGGAAGACAGACTCTGACTCCGATTCTGCTTTCCAACATCAAGCGGAAAAGGAAGAGTCAATCAAACCTTGCTACAACACCAGAGCAGCATCAGCTACTACCAAGACTGGTGTGAATAAACGGAAAGCAAGGCAAGGCCGTCCCATGGAATGCTCTGTCAAGAACAGGAAGACAGACTCGGGCTCCGATTCTGCTTTCCAACATCAAGACTAGAGATGAGCGAATCGAACATGACGAAGTGGAATTCGTTCTGAAGATTTGGAAAAATTCTATTCGCGCCGAATCCGAAGATTAGCAAACTTTGGATGCACGAATCGAATTTTCCCAAAAATGGCGGCGACATGTGTGGCGACGGAGAAAATGGACAGAGAAGATGGGGCGGGGATCTCTGGTAAGGCGCGCAGACAAGGCGCGCTGACCCATAATGCATTCATGACATGTGATCGCATTAGCCAATCAGCAGCCAGCCAGCACTGTGTAATGGTGGAGCTATAAATCGCGGCCATCTTAGAATTCTCCATTAGCCTCCGGTCATTCAAGAGAGACAGACCTGTGTGTATTAAGGGACAGAGTTAGGGCCACAGAATCGTTACTCAGGGACACAGAATCGTTACTCAGGGACACAGAATCGTTACTCAGGGACACAGAATCGTTACTCAGGGACACAGAATCGTTACTTAGGGCCACAGCTATCAAAGAATCGAAAATTTAAAGTGACATACACCCTTTTTTTTTTTGGTGGCTGTCGTGCACAGTTGGTGCTGCAGTTTGCCGATTGTGCAAAATAAACTGACTTTCTGCTTCATAACCACTATTGTACGTTCAAAGAGTTAAATCCATTTACACGCCGGCTGGCGGTAATATTTTTTGGGTGATTAGTGCATTCCAGTGACACAAACGTACAGTTTCCAGCCAACGGCAAGCTGCAATTGACCGATTGTGTACAATAAACTGACTTTCTGCTTCACAACCACTATTGTACGTTCAAAGAGTTAGATCCATTTACACGCCGGGTGGCGGTAATATTTTTTGGGTGATTAGTGCATTCCAGTGACAGAAACATACAGTTTCCAGCCAACGGCAAGCTGCAATTGACCGATTGTGCTAAATAAACTGACTTTCTGCTTCACAACCACTATTGTACGTTCAAAGAGTTAAATCCATTTACACGCCGGCTGGCGGTAATATTTTTTGGGTGATTAGTGCATTCTAGTGACAGAAACGTACAGTTTCCAGCCAACGGCAAGCTGCAATTGACCGATTGACCCGGTTTGCAGGTTGTTCCGTCTTATGGATGGAAGTACGACGGTATATGATCTTCTTCGCACCCACGGCATCACCTCATAGAATCTCTGCATTGCATCTGCAATCACAACGCTGACTTCCCGGATCGCCACTCAGCCATTGGACTCTTGATAGTCGTCTCCCCACACTGCTGCTGGGGGGACTTTTTAACCTAGGCCTGTGTATGGCCTTCAATTGAAGCTGCTTCCGCTCCGCCACTCTGCCATTGGACTCTTGATAGTCGTCTCCCCACGCTGCTGCTGGGGGGACTTTTTAACATAGGCCTCTGTATGGCCTTTAATTGAAGCTGCTTACGCTCCGCCACTCTGCCATGGGCCTCTTGGGTATCCCAGAAGCTGCTCAGCGGGTCAGGGCAATAAAGCTCCCCGTTCGCAGGTTGTTCCGTCTTATGGATGGAAGTACGACGGTATATGATCTTCTTCGCACCCACGGCATTACTTCGTAGAATTTCTGCATTGCATCTGCAATCACAACGCTGACTTCCCGGATCGCCACTCAGCCATTGGACTCTTGATAGTCGTCTCCCCACACTGCTGCTGGGGGGACTTTTTAACCTAGGCCTGTGTATGGCCTTCAATTGAAGCTGCTTCCGCTCCGCCACTCTGCCATTGGACTCTTGATAGTCGTCTTCCCACGCTGCTGCTGGGGGGACTTTTTAACCTAGACCTGTGTATGGCCTTCAATTGAAGCTGCTTCTGCTCCGCCACTCTGCCATTGGACTCTTGATAGTCGTCTCCCCACACTGCTGCTGGGGGGACTTTTTAACATAGGCCTCTGTATGGCCTTCAATTTAAGCTGCTTACGCTTCGCCACTCTGCCATGGGCCCCTGTACCGCCTCCTCTTGCTGCTGCCAGGTCCAGAGTGTGTCATGGGTCCCTGTACGGCCTCCCATTGCTGCTGACTTCATCGCCAGACTCTGCCATGTGCCACTTTCAGGTCTCCTTACACTGTTGGTGGGTTCCATTTTGTGATAGGGTGCTGTATGGCCTTCCATTGCTGCTGCCTCCACCGCCACCCTGCGCCATGTGCCTCTGTCGTCTGCTCACGCTGCTGACGGCTTCCGCTTTTTAACCAAGGCCTGTGTTTGGCTTCCGAATACTGCTGCATCCACCGCCACCCTGCGCCATGTGTCTCTGTCGTCTGCTCACGCTGCTGACGGCTTCCGCTTTTTAACCTAGGCCTGTGTATGGCTTCAGAATAATGCTGCCTACACCGCCACCCTGCGCCATGTGCCTCTGTCGTCTGCTCACGCTGCTGCCAGGTCCATACTGATTCATGGCCCCCTGTACCGGCTCCTCATGAACGTGGTTCAGCGGGTTTGCATCACTTAACGGCAAATCGTTGACAAACGCTGGGACGTTCAGTGTTGTGCGCATTAAGCCAGACACCAAAGGGCAGCACAGACCTGTTATTACTCGCTCAAGCATGGCTGAACAAAACCAGTCTCTACCACAAATTGGACCCAGACCTGCCCAGGGTCTTGTAAGTAGATTGCACGGAGGAGTAGAGTTCGTTATTGGAATTAACTGTGAGGGACTTTTAAACCTAGGCCTGTGTATGGCCTTCAATTGAAGCTGCTTCTGCTCCGCCACTCTGCCATTGGACTCTTGATAGTCGTCTCCCCACGCTGCTGCTGGGGGGACTTTTTAACATAGGCCTCTGTATGGCCTTCAATTTTAGCTGCTTACGCTCCGCCACTCTGCCATGGGCCCCTGTACCGCCTCTCTCATGCTGCTGCCAGGCCCGTAATCTGCCATGGGCCCCCGTACCGACTCCTCATGCTGCTGCCAGGCCCGTAATCTGTCATGGGCCCCTGTACCGCCTCCTCATGCTGCTGCCAGGTCCAGAGTGTGTCATGGGTCCCTGTACGGCCTCCCATTGCTGCTGTCTCCATCGCCACACTCTGCCATGTGCCACTTTCAGGTCTCCTCACACTGTTGGTGGGTTCCATTTTGTCATAGGGTGCTGTATGGCCTCCCATTGCTGCTGCCTCCACCGCCACACTGTGGCTCCACACTCTGGTTTTGGCCCCGTGACTGCCCAAATGAGTGAAGTGTGCGGTGATTCTAAGATCGACGGCACTCATCTGCATGTCATACTGACTGACAGTATTATTTCTCTTCCCCAGCAGACTCCAAGGGCATTTAAATTAAAGGTACAGTGTTCTGCACTAATATAAAGGCTCTCTGAAGCCTAGAAACACCCTTTTTATAAGTTAAATTCGCAGCGAATATATTCGGCTCGAAGCGAATTTATTCGGCGAATCAGCCAAACCGAATTTTTTAATAATTCGCTCATCTCTAATCAAGACACAAAGGAAGAGTCAATCAAACCTTGCTACAACACCAGAGCAGCATCAGCTACTACCAAGACTGGTGTGAATAAACAGAAAGCAAGGCAAAACTGTCCCATGGAACTCCCTGTCAAGAACAGGAAGACTAAGACTCCAATTCTGCTTTCCAACATCAAGAGACAAAGGAAGAGTCAATCAAACTTTGTTACAACACCAGAGCAGCATTAGTTAGTACTAATCTGCAGTACTTGCTTGCTGCTCTGAATGTAAATTACATGAAAAACGCATATGAGATTTTCCTGCTTTATTGCGCATTTTTTGCAGCAGTGGTTTGTTTTTTATGCGCTTTTGATGTGTTTACGTTTTTCCCCCATATCTCTGGCCCTTGACACTTCCCACAAGTGACTGGAGAGTCTGCCCAAATATAACAAAATCCAGGGCCTGTGCAAGGATTTTTGTCTACATAGGCGAAGATGCATTTGATGCTACAACATCATATCAGCATCAGTTAGCACCAGTATTGATGTGAATAAATGGAAAGCAAGGCAAGGCAGCCCATGGAACACCCTATCAAGCTTGGAATGCAAAGCCAGAAGCACTTGAAAATTCGGTAAGAGGTCAAGAAAGTAATGTTTTCCATTACTAGTGAAAAAAAAAGATTCACTACTGCAGGAAAGTCATTAATTCATTAAAAGATAAGCTCACTTTTAGGGGCATGTTACACCCATATTTAAGGTGTAACATGTACCCACCTCCTCCCACTACCCAGTGGCGTATCATTCATTAGTGCAAAGTGTGCAGTGCACAAGGGCCCTGAGAGGGATGGGGCCCAATGTGCTTTGACCCACTCTGCACCCATGGATGAGACGAGCCTTGATTCTCAGTCACACACATATCTTGTTGCTGGAGCTGAGAGCTGCTGTCCGGGGGCAGGTACTGCTTTTCTGAGAAGACCGAGGTGGGAGAACTAGGAAGCCTGAGAATGGGGAAGACTGTGAAGCCAGAGGATGGGGCTGTGAGGCCTGAGGATTGGGGGTGGAGAATGGGGAAGCCTGTTCAACCTGAGGATGGGGGTTGGGGAATGAGGAACACTGAGGATGAGGGGGAAGACTGTGCAGTATGAGGGTGGGGAAGAGGGAAGACTGAGGATGGGGGGGGTGGGACTGTTCAAACCGGAAGGATGTAGGGGGACTGTGCAGACTGGGGAGGGGGTTGGGGAGAATTTGCAGACTGAGGATGGGGGGAGACTGTACAGCCTCAGGATTGGGGATGGGGGGCTGGGCAGACTAAAGATGGGAAGGACTGTGCAAACTGAGGATGGAGAGGATGGGGCAGACTGAGGAGGGGGGGAGACTGTGGTGCACACTGAGGAGGGGGGGGATAGGGAAGACTGAGACTGAGGATGGGGGGAGGATGACTGTTCAGTCTGAGGATGGAAGAGGACTGTGCAGATTGAGGATTGGGGGGGGAGACTGTGGTGCAACCTGAGGATGGGGGGGAAGACTGAGGATGGGGGGAGGATGACTGTTCAGTCTGAGGATGGAGGGGGACTGTGCAGATTGCGGATGGGGGGTGAGGAACAGAAAGACTTAAGATGGGGGGGGGACTGTGGTGCAGCCTGAGGATGTGGAGGGGGAAGGGAAGGGAAGACTGAGGATGGCGGGGAGGATGACTGTTCAGTCTGAGGACAGGGGAAGACTGTGCAAACTGAGGATGGGAAGGACGGGGCAGGCTGAGGATGGGGGGGAACTGTGGTGCAGCCTGAGGATGGGGGGGGGAGGAAGACTGAAGATGGGGAGAGGATGACTGTTCAGTCTGAGGATGGAGAGGGGGACTGTGCAGATTGAGGATGGGGGGTGAGGAACGGGGAGGACTGAGGATGAGGGGGGGAGACTGTGTGTTGCAGCCTGAGGAAGGGGGGGGGAGAAGGGGAGGGAAGACTGAGGATGGGGGGGAGGATGACTGTTCAGTCTGAGGACGGGGGGAGTGTAAGGGACCGCCCGGCGGTACCACTAGCACTCCACTGGTCGGATGTTCCCAGCGCACGGAGTCTAAGCCCCAGGGTACTTGTTCACCAGGGCCCCTGATGGTGGGGATGGACTTGGAGTACCCTAGGACCAGGTCGTGACTACTGAGGACACCCGTCAGTGGTAGGGGTATTCGCCAGGGGCTCCCACGGGAGAGAGCCAGGTATGAGGAGGTCTGGAGACCCCGTAGAGAGGGACGGATGGATGGATGGATGGATGGCTGAGCAGGAGCAGGGTCATACAAGCCGGGACGGTAACTATGGGGACGGTGCGGTACAGAGCAGCGGGCAGAGAATAGTCGGGTCACACGCCAGGTCAGCAACAGCAGGTCAGATCCAATAGGGGGCATTCAGGAGAGAGGTCAGGCAAGCAAGGGTCAAAACAGGAGAAAACAGCAAGGTCAGGGCACAATCCGGGTCAGCAACTTACTTCAGACAGGTTCACAGGATACAAAAGACCAAAAGGCACTGAATGACAGCTCAGGGCCGTTTAAATATCCCGCCCTGCGCTGTCATCGGTGCCAGGCGCGCGCCCGCGGTCACTACTGCGCATGCGCGAACCTGATTGCCGCGGTCGGCCAAGTCCCGGCGCTCGCGTACAGGGAGGTGTTACTGCGCCTGCGCCGGGACCAGCGGCGCGGCGATCTCCGACATTGCCCCCCCCCTACGGGCAACCTCCGGATGCCCACCCGATCTCTCCACCACGGGTGATCACGAAGAAACTCCCGGACTAGTCTAGGTGCGTGGACATTATGAGCCGGTTCCCAGGAATTGTCCTCAGGACCATAGCCCTTCCACTTAATTAGGAATTGGATCTGGCCCCCCCTTCTTCGGCACTTAAGGATCGTTTCCACCTCAAATTCCTCTTGTCCTTCGACCGTTATGGCCTCAGGGGGTCTGGATTCTCGTTCTGGGAAGGCATCTGGGATCACTGGCTTCAGCAGAGATACATGGAAAACTGGATGAATTCTGAACGTGGCCGGAAGGATCAGCTCATATGCCACTTCGTTGACCATCCGCTTTACCTGAAAAGGCCCCACAAATTTAGGTCCCAATTTTTTCGAGGGACAAAGCATCTTTAAGTTGGTTGTGGCCAACCACACCTTCTGCCCAGGCTGCAACGCCAAATCCCCTCTTCGTTTCTTGTTAAACTCCTTCTTATTGTCCTCTTGGGCCCGAGCGATGGCTTCCTGGAGTAATTTGTTATTGACGGAGAAGAAGGTCAACGCATCCTGCGTGGCTGGAACTGGGCATTCAGAGACCAAGTCAGGGAGAAAGACAGGGTGAAACCCATAATTCGAAAAGAATGGGGACTGCCCCGGTTGCCGAATGGCTTGCGTTGTTATAAGCGAACTCCGCCAGGGGTAAAAGAGACAGCCAATCATCCTGCAGGAAAGACGTGTAGCAACGCAAGTATTGCTCCAGGGTCTGGTTCGTCCTCTCGGTCTGACCGTTGGTCTGAGGGTGGAACGCGGAGGAGAGGGACAACTTGATGTCCAGGGCCTTGCACAGAGCCCTCCAAAACTTAGATGTAAACTGGACCCCTCGATCAGAGACGATGTCCTCGGGTACTCCATGAAGTCTAACGATCTCCCGGATAAATATTCGCGCCGTCTCAGTTGCTGACGGAGTCTTCCTTAGTGGCACGAAGTGAGCCATCTT